TAATAAATTTTATATTTAATTAAAAATAAATTTTGGTGCACTTAAGCGATTTAGATTTGGAGCTTCTATAGTCTTCAATTATCTTTGTGCAATTTTTGGTGCAATATGGATAGATTGGATTCCTGACACTGACATCCCTTGTTTGCCATATTAAAATTGGAATATAACAGGCTCTACAGACTGCAGATTATATAGAGTATGTATGTCGTAATGTTTTCTTTACCAAATTCGGTACACTTCTTGGTACAAAGCTTTTCTTTCTATGAGCCTCTCCCGTTTATAACTCTAAGTATACCATGTAACCGTATAAAATGGGTACATTAATAATTTACCTATGCTCCTTGTTATCGAGAACTCCTTTTCATATTATTTGAGGGTTATTTTAACTTTCTCAAAACAAACCATGTACCAAGAGTACCTTTGTACCTTTGCTTAGCAATTTTTTTGGTACTTGACTGATGTAAAATGCTAAAAACTACTGAAGCCTGCAGATCCTTGAACGGACAAAGCCGAGTAACTTGGGAAAAATGATATGCCAAGAGTAAAAAGAAACTCAAGTAAAATTTTATTTTTTTATTGATTTTTTTATGTTGATTTTCTTTTTTTGTGTTTGTTTTCTTCTTTGTTTTTATTTGTTTTTTTTTGTTTGTTTTCGTTTTTGTTTTGGTTTTCTCATTGAGACAAATATTTATAACAATATTGTAACTTCTACTTTGTTGTTGTTGTTGTTTGTTTGTTTTTGTTTTTGTTTTCATCTTGTTCTGCGTTTTCTTCCACTATTTATTTGCATTTGTTTTCGGTTGTCAGTTTTTGTTTTGTCGCTTATGTTATAAATATTAAAATTACTACCTTAAAAATTATGCAATGACAATAAAAATATTTGTTATGCAACTTCGATCCGGGTTGCTAGATCGATCGCCCCATATGAACTGCTTAAAAGTTGCGCCGTTTTCTCTTCCTCTTTGTTTTTTGTTGTTTTTTTTTTTCAGTTTATTTGTTTAATAATTTGTTTTTTTTTTCGTTTTTCTTTTTGCTCTGTTTCGT